GGACCGGAAGTGCTGTTGCGGGTTGGCCGCGGTCCAGACTAACCGGCGTCCCTGGGCGGGCCTGTCCCTTCCTCCCACGCCCTTCGTTTTGAATTTAAAACTCATTGGTGTAGGCTTCCCGCCAGCCCCGGAGGTCAGTCCGTTTAGCCCAGTGTTCCTCGTCCCTGCCTGCACGTTAGAATGACCTGGGAGCGTTTTAAAGGAATAATGACCCACGTTTGAGAAGACAGGCCAGGAGCCAGCCCCGAGGGTTCTGATTCAATCGGTTAGAAGTCAGTGGCTCCGTTTTTCTTTTTCTTTTAGATGGTGGTTACATGTTATCACGGCCTGACAGTTTTAGCCAAGAAAGTAACAGCAGCGACACCCGCGGCTTGAGCAGAGTGGCTCTGCCACCGGTTCCCGAAACGCGCCCGCGGCGGTGAGCGAGCCCGGACCTTGGGCCGGGTCAGGCCAGACAGTGAGCGCTGTGCACCCTCCGCCGTTGGCCCAGAGCAGGGGGGCGCCCCGTCAACGGCGCCTGCGAGCCGCAGCGCAGAAGGGGCGCCTGTGGCAAACCTGTGTCGCCGTCATGGTGCCTTGAAGCAATGACAACAGCAGCACGAAGTAGCTGATCACAGACCATCACGATGAGATACTGACATGAAGGGAGCAGATGCTGCTGGGAAAATAGTGCCAAGGGACCGGCTCCACGCTGGCTGCCACAGCCTTCCGTTCGGAGAAGAGGCAACACGCCTGTCTTGTGCTGCGCTCTACCAGGCTTTGCAGATGTCGCTTTCCCTCCTGCTAACACAGCATCCATTCTGCAGCCTATGTAACAAGAAGTAATTTCAAGGGAAAAAAAGTGATTTCAACTTTCAAGTCTTATTACTTAAATATTTTTGTAATCCTATAGCTGTTAGAGAGCAGGCAGCATTTTCAGTCATGTGAGCAGTGTGTTTGCAAAAGAAAGAAGTTAGTTTCTAGCCCTTTAGGAAACTGAGATGTCAAATTTCATTATATATTTTAAACTACATGTTTTGAAAAGTTTCATACCTATGGGCATTGACATAATTAGATCATGAACTCCCCTGTGATCAATCAGAATCATCAACATTTTCCAGTCTCATTTCCTCTATCTTTTCACTATATTTTTTGTGAGGTAGGAAGGTTGGGGTGGGGGAGGGAATAATTTAAAGTTAAACCTAGAGCTATCCTATCATCCTAAATTCTTCAGTTTGTATGTCTTAGAGATAAGAACTTTTTATTTTATAATATAAGTGCAACACCACTACCACATTCAGCAAATGGAGCAGTAATTTCTCTCTGTAGCAGTAATTTCTTACTATAAGAAGTTACTTGTACAAAAAGTAATTGGCAAAACTAGTATTTAAATGAAGGTTTCCTGTCTCCAGTTTCTCCTTGACTCTTTTCTCAAGCCATTTTAAACAAAACAAACAAAAAAAACCACAGTTGTATAATTTTAAGGGGCAACTTAAAGTTGACGTGGAGTAAGTGATTGTTTTTAATGTGTGGATTGAGAGGTTGTAAGAGAGTAGGGACCAATGTTGACAATGGAGAGTTTGCCTGAAATATGTTTACAGTTTCCATCTGTTCCGTTTTTGACATCAGCAGAAATCAGTTTGTCCATTTGCTTTGTTTTCCTGGGTCAGTTCAGAGTTCAGGCTCCCCCCAACCTAGAGATGTAAACATATTGCCTGCACAGGTCGACTCCCTGAGCCTCCTGGCGGGGTCTCTGTGTGCACAGGATTGTCAGAAGCTCTCTGTACCCTGTTGAGTTATTCCTCATCTCCTGCCCCGAATATTCCTGGTCTCGCCAGCCAAAGCCACTGCCCCACGGTCCTTGTTCAGTAGCAGAACCGATCAACGCGTGACCTTCTAGTGCTCGGCTGGCGAGGCACTGCTGTTGCACTCCAGCGTCCTAGCCAGTCCTGGGAATACAGGGGAAAGGATATACCCAACACAAATTGCCAGTGGAGGGAAGCTGACCGTTCCTGGATCGATCATTTATTCATTCCACAAATATTTATGCAACACCTGCCTTGTGCCAGTAAAGTTGCAGGTGCTTAGAATTCATACGTGAGTAGAATAGACAAAGTTAATCCTTGCCTTCCCACAGCCTACATTTAAGAAACATCTAAACAGAGGTTCTGAGCAGCCCTCTGCTTCTTGGTCTCTATTGTCATTCATTTGTTCGTTAATTCTTTCATCAACAAACCTGCCAAGTGTTCACCCTCAGTCACCCGTGTGCGAGACAATACGGCTGGGTCAGAAGGCATCACGTGTCTTGACACCTTCTGTTCGAGGATGTGAAAGACGGAGTATGACCCACTGTGCCCTTGACATAAAATCTGTTTCTACTTACACCTTCCCAGTTATTCCCTTGAGTAGCCTGCATTCTCTCTCACATGCCCTGCAGTCTGGTACAGGAATAGGGCGCAGGTGCCCATTTGGTGTTAAGAGCGAGAGCTAAGGACACAAGCCATGACGTGGGAAGCGCACGTGTGCCGAGGAGCGGAGGGCGTGGGACGTGACACATTCTTTAGAAACGGCCACAGGGCGGGAGCTGAGATTTTTGTTGGGAGGCAGGCCACACACTTATGATGTCACTAAACGTTCCTGCCAACGGAACCCATGGAACAGGAAGGGCCACCGCGTTCCGCTGTTGAGGAGAAGGCCAGGAGGGGCCGCCCTGTAGAAAGGCGCTGCTATGGAACACAGGGCATCAGAGGATGGAAGCTGAAGTGGAGAGGGTCGAAAAAGAACTGAGACAAAAGGTTCGCTGGGGTAGGACCAGCAGAGGAAAGCACGCCTGTGATTGGAGGGGAATGACGAGGAGGAGGCACGCGGAGGCTGCAGCCAAACTGTTACTTCTCTTGACATCACCAAGGGATGTACTTGGAATCTGCTGTGGTCCCCCCACCCCCTTTTCCGTTAGGAGATACGGGCTCCTCCTGCATGGAAGGACTGTGCCAAACGGAGACAACGAGTCGGACTGTGAAGGGACAGCAGGTCTAGGTGGTGGGACAGGGCCTGTGGGACGCACAGCAGCAGTGCAGGCTGTGGAGGAGTGTGTGCGGGGGTTTCAGACCAGATGCAGAGATCAAAGAGGGAGCTTTCCATCCCGCTGGCTGGTGAGGGACGGGTCAGCCGGTGGCCTGGAGAGGATCTGGTTAGGGGACGAGGAGGGGAGGGGGCTGGGAGGCGAGTATGAGAAAGGACCAGAGGATTGGACTTGTCTGGGGAGAGATCCCAAAGGGAAACAAACTCATATACTGTCCCCGCTTTTTCCAGTCAGCTCCCTTCTGTATGAGATGTGGGATCACTAGGCCGCACCGCATTCTGGTCCTCACCTGCACGGTCACCGGGTCGGCCCTCCTGTGGTGGGCCTTCAGCCTGTCCACCTGGGCGAAGGTGGACGTCCCCGACAGCCCCCAGGTCCTGTTCAGCGCCCTGTTTGCCATCTGCAGCCAGGAGGTCAGGTGCTGGGTTCCTCCATCCAGGTCATGTAAGTGCCGGCCTTGAAGGGAGGGCCCTGCCCCCACCTGTCCCTTCCAGGACTTGCCAGCCTCTTGCTCTGCCCAGGTCACATGGACGGAGCAGTTCTCCTCCTCTCAGTGACAGTGGCTCATTTCTGATGGGCCAGGGGGTCAGGCCTCTGGGGCAACCAGCCCCGGCCAGAATCGCTGTCCTGGACCTTCCGGCAGCAGGCTCTCCCTCCGCTGCCACCGGTTCCTTCCCCAAAGTCCCTGCACTGCCTCCTTCGTGTTCTGGGGGTTCAGACCCAGGAAGGAGGGGACCCTAGAGGGAGCTGCTGGCCTTTCTCCCCTCTCCCTCCCTAATTCAGACTGCTTCACATTTGGTCGAATTTTCATGATCAGCGCCCTTCTTCTCTCCTTCTTCCTGAACATCACACTCCTGGCCTTCCCTCAGGCCCTTCCCGATACCTGGAAACAGTCCTTTGTCTTCACCATCACCTGCTTTATCGTAGGTGAGAGATGGGAGGACGTGGGTTCCCTCAGTGGTCCTTGTGCTGGGCTGGGGTCACGTTCCAGGGGCTCACACAGCTGCTTAGAATCTGCCCAAGCACCGCGAAGGCAGCAGACAGTCCATGACAATAAAGAAGCAGGGCAGAGGCGCTGAGACGACAGCTTTGGGTCGGGACTTCGCCCGAAGGCCACGCACTGAACTAACCCGGCTGCTCTCTGCCCCTTTCCTGAGGAGCAGGTGTCTGTGTGCTCCTCGCGTTGCTGCTGCACTCTCTGTATATTTGGAAAGTAACTGACATATTCAAGGAAGCGAAAGTCACCTTTCTCTACCCCTCTTTCGTCCTCTCCGTCAGCATCACGCTGTTCTTCTTGTCTGGTGAGTGTTTGGGGGGCTTTGTGAGCGCTTGGGCTAGTCCTGAGTCCAGAACAGCCAC